AGGTAATGGAAAACCGCATCTTCAACACCCTTCTACAGTAGTGCGTCCAGTGTTGCTTATCTACTGAAGTTAGTATCGTAAATTCTCCAGGTATTAATAATTGGGAAACCGGTATTGAATATATCCATTGAGCCAGAGTGGACTATGAGAGTAAAAGTTTCCTACATATAATCTTTGAGAGCTTATAAATACATCTAATTTAATCATGAGAAGGAAGGGAGGGAGGGAGGAGGGAGGGGAAGGACAGGAGGGGGGGGAGGAGGGAGGAAGGAGGAGGGGGGAGGAGGGAGGAGAGGAGAGGGAGGGAAGGAGGAGGAGAGAGAGGAAGAGAGAAAGAAACGAAGGAAAGAATGGAGGGGGGACAGAGGAAGGAAGGAAGGAAGGAAAGGGGGCAGACTTTGAGAACCACTACTCAAGTACGTAATGCAGCAACAAGAGGTATATAACAGCCATGATCAGACACCTTGGCTGACCCTCAAGTGTGTCCACCACTCCGGCGTGATCAGGTGAACTAACTCGCCTCAAAAACACGTTCGACACCTTCATCTTTGAGCGAGTCTCGGCGCTCTTAATTAGCCAGGGTGTGCGCCGTGGCCCTCATATAAGGCTATCACTCACACGTAATTGACCCTCGCCCAATGAACTCCCCAGCTTCGTATTTATTACATGACCTGGACGTACGATCCCAGACCTTCACGCCACCGAATTATACCTGATTCTCTACACAAGTGGTCACTAGTAAATTACATATATAATCTATTAAATGACTACCTGTCACAGCCTATAAATCATAGAGCTTATTTCTCCACATCTGCACCTCATTAAATGTTTCACCAATCGTAAACCACTGAAGGATTTATTTCGAGTATTTTAATGTATTTCTGAAGACGCAGTAGACTGAGCCAGCCACAGTACAGTGTCCCCACCTCACATACTCCAGGTGTTTGATTGACTGATTGTATAAAATCACATATGGCGTAGTAACAGCGTGTCAGGTGACGTCGTACTAACTTAAAAAGGGTGTTTTTTTTATTTTGGAATATTATTGATATTGAAAGTTTATTTAGCCAGAAAAAACACAGATACAGAGTCGATAATAACAAAATTAACATGGCTGAGCCAGTTGAGAACCTGAGCTCTCTTTGAGGCACCTAATATATACTATACATTTATCTCAAGGAAGTATTATGTAACATTTAGTATCATCTGGAATAGTGCAATAGCATGGTGCTAATAAGAACATCCCATAATGTTACCACTTCATTATTTATTTTTTTAGTTATTTTTTTTTTTACATTTATATTAGAAGTATATACATATACAGTTGAGTTGGAGATACAAATATGATAAGGGGGGGGGGGCAAGAACAACATGGGTTGTATTAAGGTGGAACAAGAAGACAGAGCTGTCAGTATTATGTCTAGTCGGCAAATACATGGTATATCTATTGCAATGGTAGTTTCTATCGATCTACATGTAACTAAACTATAGATAATATACATGCATACATACAGTACCTATACACGAAATATTATAATAACTAGTTTATATATCTTAGAGGAAGCCAGTTATGGAGGGGAGGGGGGGCATCCTCGACAAACTTATAAACTCCATCCTCTGAAAATGAAACACTCCCCTCCCTGAGACCTGGAGACACGCCGCCGCCTCTTACACCAGACAACACAACACCAGGAAACAACCTCGGGAGATGAAACAAAACTTATAGTAATACAACTTCAAGCACAGACGAAAGAAGAAGAAAGATGGGCGCTCGTTTAACTTTCTCTCTACAATGATGCTGCTCAGATTTCACGCTCAATTTGGTGGCGACAAGACGTAAAAGAGAGAAAGTAACAGGAAGAGTAATGTAAGAGGAGTAGGAGGGGCCGGTAAAGATGAGGAGGAGGGGGGAGGCTTGGGGGAAGGAAGAGGAGAAGGAGAGGTGTAGAGTGAGAAGAGGGAGGTGAGTGGCGGGACAAGAGTGCTGCTCTGCCTGGCATAGCTCAGAGAGCCTTGCGGGTGTAAACACGGAGCTTTTTCCGGGCTCCCCCACGGTGGCTTCACATAATGGGACAGAAAGGGCGCGTCGGCAACTTGGCCCCAGAATTCTGTTTGCTTTAACGTAATTTATACAGAGGATGTCTTCATTCTCCATTGCGGGCGGCGCTAAAAGACGAATGGCACAATAAATCTTGGGCGGACTATGCCGCACTTTCCCCACCTTGACGCGACGCATTTTATGCAAGAGGATAACGAGTTTAAAAGTTGGTGAACACTGGCTGGAGTAAAGAGGCAGTCGACAACAAAGAGCGGCTCCACAGTCCTGACTAGATCAAGCCTGACTAAGCACTTAGTGGAGTGGGATGCCCGTCTCGTGTGTGGCAGCGACAGCACTGGGCTTTACAATCAGCCGCCCGCCTCATACACTTATACAATGAAAATAAATACACGACCTCGCTTAAGTACTGGGCCAGTCACTCACTGTCTCCTGCCACCCCTGCACAGCCAGGGGGGTATTCCATATCCTGTCCTACCACCCACTACCTCCCTTTAGGTAAAGCCATCTATTCAACTCCCGTCCACCCTGCCACTCCTTGCCTCCCTTTCACCCCTGCCACACTCCTTGCCTCCTCCACCCTGCCACCTCCTTGCCTCCTCCAACCTGCCACACTCACTTGCCTCCCTCACCTGCCCTCCTTGCCTCCTCCCACCCTACCCACATTCTCCCTTGCCTCCTCCACCCTGCCACCTCCTTGCCTCCTCCAACCACCACCTCCTTGCCTCCTCCAACCTGCCACACTCCCTTGCCTCCTCCACCTGCTACACTCCTTGCCTCCTTAGCCTGCCACACTCCCTTGCCTCCTCAACCTGCCACTCCCTTGCCTCCTCCAATCACCACACTCCCTTTTCCTCCACCTGCATTCCCATGCCCCCCCCATCCTGCCACCTCCCCTGCGTCCACACCCTGCCACATTTCCTACGTCCCCTGCCTCTCACTGCCACTCCCCTGCCTCCTCACTGCCACACACCCTGCCTCCAACGTGTCACAGTTCACTCCACCTAATTACTACCAGAGACTCGAAAAAATCTTTTAATAGGGCCAGGATCACCCGAGGCGAGCGGCGGAGGGCAGCGACTTGTAAGGAGGAGGTCCGGCATGAGGGGGTGAGGGCAGGAAGAAGTAAAGTAGGAAGAGGTGAGGCAAGAGGAGGTAAAGTAGGAGGAGGAGGAGAGGCAGCAGGTAGGGGGGCGGTTATATATGAGAGAGAGAGAGAGAGAGAGAGAGTCAAGAGCCGACCCTTTATGGTGGATTAAGATAAGACGACTCAGTATACATCAATGGAGGAGTCACGTGATTATCTGGGAGTGGGAGGTGGAGTGAGGTGTGTGGTGCTCAGAACACTCATTGCACTCACCCCTGATGGTTGGGCCACAGGCCCGCCTCCCACGCCCACTACCAGAGCAGGAGGTGTGTGTGTGTGTGTGGGGGGAGGAAGAGGAGGTTGAAGGTGGAGAGTAGGAGGTTGAGGAGAAAGAGGAAAAGAGGAGGAAGAGGAGGAGGTTGAGGAGAAAGAGGAGGTTGGGAAGGAGACGAATGATGACGAAGAGAATAAGTAGGAAAGAAGATGAAGATGAGACAGGGAAGGAGGAAGAGAAGAATGAAGGGAAGGGAAGGGAAAAGGAGGCTAAGGACGATAAAGAGAAATAAACATGAGAAAGAAAAGGAGGCGAAGGACGATAAAGAGAAATAAACAGATGAGAAAAAAATGGAAGAGGGAAGATGTAGGTGCCACAGGAAGGAAGAGTTAAGAGAGACAAAGAAGAGGGGAGGAAGGATAAAGCGAAGAGAAGGAATGATAAAAGCGAATAGGGGGAGGAGAAAAAGAGGAGGGAGCAACAAGAATAAGACAATAACAAGAGGGAGACAGAGCGGGGAAGAAAAAAGCCAACGAAACAATGAAGAAGTGGCATCAAATAAAATATCCCCCCCCCCACCAAAAAAAAATAAATAATAAAAAAAATAAAAAGATCATGGGAACATAACAGAGCATTCAAGACACACATCACCACCATCATCACTATCATCCTCACTATCATCATCATCATCACCCTCACTATCATCATCATCACCCTCACTATCATCATCATCATCACCCTCACTATCATCATCATCATCCTCACTATCATCATCACCCATCACCCTCATCATACATCATCATCCTCACTATCATCATCATCATCACCCTCACTATCATCATCATCATCATCATCACCCTCACTATCATCATCATCATCACCATCATCATCAATCAAACTAATATTAAACGCTCACCAACGCTGCTCATCCAATATGTACAAAATCAAGCCCTGAAAGCTATAGTGTAAAATTTGGCAACACACACACTCACACACACATACATAAATATATAAATACGCTTAACCAATTACAACATCAAAATGAAAACGCTTCCTGCCACCAGCCATTAAAAAAAATTCATATCACATCAGGTAATAATGAAGTGCTCGCTCCCACATCAATTCTTTCATAACGTTTCATTTTTCGCGCACGTTTTAAAATCGGTTAAGTTATTAAAAACTTTTGGTTTTATGATTCAATTGTGGAGTGTGTGGCGAGGCGGATGAACCCGGCGTATCATATTGAGGCGGTGGGCACTGGTGAACCAACACACACACACACACAGTCATTCGTACATACATGCATACATACCCTCCTGTACACACACACACACACACACACACACACACCCACCGCTACCAGCTGAACAGTTATATAGTGTGGACTCCTGTCTTTAATACCCACGGTTATGTCACCGTCCACACCTGTACCACAACATCGCACATATCTGCCTCATCGCCACCCATACCTACCACGGCATCGGCCACACCCTGCTTTAACACGGCCCACACCTGCCTCAACACGGCCCACACCTGGCTCCAGAAGCACCAGGTGTGTGTCAACAAGTAACTGGGGTACTTACGATGTAGCCTTGTTCTGAGCTGGAGTGACTTCCGCCAGCCTGCAAAAAACAAAAATAAATTAATAAATTAGTTATACATTTGAATAAACATACAATACATCTGGTTATAAACATATAGTTATCTATTTATCTATATATCTATCTATCTATCTATCTATCTATCTGTCTGTCTGTCTGTCTATCTATCTATCTATCTATCTATCCTTCTCTCCAACTTTCGGTATGAGGTGGATCAAGAATGGGAGGAAGAAGTGAAGACAAGGGAGTAGAGGGTCAGGGAGGGGAGAGGAGGGAATAAAGGGAGAATTGAAGACAAGGGAGGAGAGGGCCAAGGAGGGGAGGGGAGGAAGAGAACAGAGAGACAAGTGAAGAGAACAGAGGGCCAGGGAGAGAAAGGGCCAGGGAGGGAGAGAGCCAGGGAGGGAGAGAGCCAGGGAGGGAGAGAGCCAGGGAGGAAGAGAGCCAGGGAGGAAGAGGGCCAGGGAGGAAGAGAGCCAGGGAGGAAGAGAGCCAGGGATGAAGAGGGCCAGGGAGGAAGAGGACCAGGGAGGAAGAGGACCAGGGAAGAAGAGGGCCACAGACAACTTGTGAAGGAGAGGAGATACCACAATGGCACAGGAGTCGCCTTCACTCTCCCTTTCACCTCTAAAAAATAATTCGACGACAATATTCGCCTTTTTCAGTTTTACTAATTCTCTCACCACCAGCTAGCAAGAGTTGTTCACCATGTTCCAGCCTCCCATACCTCCACACCAACGATAAAAGCCCCATCGCCGAACCCATCTGTTTATGTGAGTCTGTTTGTATGTCTTGAGGCGCTGAACAAGAACAACCAGGAGTGCCTAGATGGTCATACACTCATACAGGCACGAAAATTCCTCCTCTGGTCCCCTCCTATGTTCTCGGGGTAGACGATTACCTCAGTGGGGATGTAGCCACGTTTGTTCACGACTCCGACAGTCTCATTCCTACCTGTCAGTCCTCCTCCTCCTACCTGTCAGTCTTACTCCTCCTCCTACCTGCCAGTCTTATCATATCTGCCAGTCCTCCCCTTCCTCCTCCTACCTGCTCCTTCCCATCTCCGTCATCTCAACATTAAAAATATAACTTGTGGAATTCCGTGTCAAGAGCATTATACTTTGTTCCAGACCCCAGTTTTATTTTTCACTCGACCACCATCTCCTTCCCCTCCTCCCTCATGCACACCTTCCAACTCCTCTATCCCATCCCCGTCACCTCGCCATCACGAGCCTTCAAATACCGCATGAAACTCTGCAGCAATGGTACCTGAGCGTGGACAAGACAGCTCCCTCCTCTCCTGGCCCGGGTACCGTACTGAGCTCCGTATTAACCTGGTAATCTCCACCAAGCCCCTCACCTTCACCAGATAAACCCCCTCTTGATCACCTCCGCCACTCCTCCTCCTCACACCACGAGTCAGGAGTCCTCCACAACTTACACCGTGTTTACTTCACCCTCACTATACATCTCCTTCAATAGGCTCCCCACCTCAGTCCTATCACCATCCCGTCATTTTCTCAACAGGATGTAGGCTGTCATCCCTAATCCCCTACTGCATCCCACCAATCCCTCAATACCCCTTTATTTCTCTCCACTTCCCAGCATCCTTCCCTCAGAGAGCCGGGCCTCCCCACAGGTAATGACCAGGTGTAAACCGGTAAGTGGTGGAGCCGTGGGCGGGCAGCGAGTTGACGAGGTAGTGATAGCAACACTGGCCCTCACTACCCCACCACCCCAAAATTAGCTATGACCTTGCAGCCCCTCAACCGCGAAATTCATGGTTCCGCATGCGGCACCAACTCGCTAACCCTTCGTCCTTTCCTCCTCCTACCTGCCGCGTGGGACCCTAAATTAAAATAGGTGCATATACACCCCCACTACCCACCCCCAGCTAGTGTCCTCCCACCCCTGCTCGAGTCTCCCTCCCCAACACCCTCTCCCCTAAACACACACGTATGGGTTGGCAGGTCGAGGGCGTGCAGACGGTTACCCTGGCATAAACGAGTTAATTTACAACCTTAATCAGAACCAAGCATGAACATTTAAAACAAGCTGACGCATCTAGTAACGCCGCTAATGCCCGCCTGACAGACTCAATTAACTTTTTTTTACGAGGGCACATTAGCGCGTTATAAATGATCATTATGCACTGCGCTAAACATTTTACGACACAATATGACCGCCGACACACTCCCCCTGCCAGACAAATTACTTGATCGTCTCTCTCTCTTTCTCTCTCTCTCCCCACGCTAACTCCACTCTTCGTGACAAGAATAATCCCCTTTCATCTTTTACTGGCACTTATAAAAGGAATTCCGCACGGTTCAGCGGTGAATTCTAACGCTGTGATTTTGTCAACTTTTTGCCACAAGTTTCTGCATTATTTTTTTGGGGGGTCAATTAAAAGGAAAAGACCGACAGGTGTAAAAAAAAATAAAAAAGTTAATTAAATATGCAGCGGACACTAACACCCCCCCGGGAGCGACGGCCAGACAGCTACACGACACACTGTAAAATTGTGAACAGTGGACCTCACATATGTTGGCCTCACCTCCACCACCACAACCACCCACTATACCCTCCTCCACCACAACCACCCACTATATCTCATCCACCACAACCACTATACCCCATCCTCCACCACAACCACCCACTATACCTCCTCCACCATCACAACCACCCACTATATCCTACCAACCACACACCACCACCACCACCATCTCCTCCACACCCTCCACCACAACCACCCACCACACCACCACAACCACCCACTATATCCACCCACCACAACCCTACCTCCTCCACCACCACAACCACCCACTATACCTCCTCCACCATCATCACAACCACCCACTATACCTCCTCCACCACAACCACCCACTATACCTCCTCCACCACCACAACCACCACTAGACCTCCTCCACCACCACCACAACCACCCACTATACCTCCACCACAACCACAACCACCTCCTCCACCACCACAACCACCCTATACCTCCTCCACCACCACAACCACCCCACCTCCTCCACCACCACAACCACCCACTATACCTCCTCCACCACCACACAACCACCCACTATATCTCACCCACCACCACAACCACCCACTATATCTCACCCACCACCACAACCACCCACTATACCTCCACCATACCTCACCCCACCACCACAACCACCCACTATACCTCCTCCACCACCACAACCACCCACTAACCTCCACCACCACCCATTGTACCTCCACCACCCACTACACCACCACCCTCATTCTCACCTCTCACCCCTACCATCTTTCAGGCATCACTTCTCAGCCGCCACTATCAACACACACCCCCACCACCTCACTCACAGACTCTTCAACACAAAACAAAACAAGAGGGGGGCCGAGGATAGCGGACCTGTCAACACACACACACACACACACACACACACACACACACTAGTTTAAAATTCCATTAATACTGACATTTGTTCAACGCAGCATACACCAATCCCTCCCTCCCATCGTCACTGCCATTAAATATCCATTATAGCATTACCACGTTCCCGCTCTACACACCCGCCAGCAAAAAAAATAATATCTAGTGCTTAAAAAAACGTATTTCCTTCAGACCCTTAAATTGTGTATCATTTTCCTGCTTATTACCCGTTTTTTGTTGCTGCTGCTTTAACGAGCTGAGGAGAAGGATGGAATGGAGTGAGGGGGGTGGGGTAGTGAGGAAGGAGGAGGGAGGTATAAGTGGGGGAGAAGGAGGTGAAGGAAGTGGAGTACGAGGGAGGGAAGAGGAAGGATGAGGTGAAGGAAGAAAAGCTGGGGGAAGAGAGAGGGAAGGACGAGTAGGTGGAAAGTACAAGGTGAAGGAAGAAAGAGAGGGAAGGAGGAAGATGAGGGGAAAAAGAGAAGCAGACCATAGAGGAGACGTAAACACAGGCCACCACCAAGGGCCACGCCCCCTTATAAGAGGGCCAAGTGGCCGTTACTCTCTATTAAAGCACACTTTCCCTTCCCTCCCTACATCCCTCCTTCCCTACCTCTCTGCTCCTTCTCTTCCCCCTCCCCTTGTACCAGCACCACCATTCTTACCACCACTACCAGCACCAGGGGCCCACCAGTACCACTATAATACCAGCAGCAACACCTGTACCACCAATAACAAGAGGGGTATACCAGTACTACCACCACTACCAGCACTACCTCCACTACCACCACCACAAGCACTGGGAAGGACAGGCCCCCATCACTTAACGTGTTTACTGCCTCCCTCTGCCTGGCCTCCACAGTATGAAACACACATGTAAACACATTTTACGATGATCCTCACATTTCTTGTTCTGTCAGGATGAAGTGAAGATTAAAAATAAAAATACAACAACACGCATGGACGGACGGACAAAAATAGACACAGACAGACAGACATATGGGCTGGCAACACGATATGATTACAAATGGATTCCCTCGCCTGTACGGAATGTTGTTGAAAAAGATAAAAGGCAGTGAAGCATTAACAGACAGTGAAGCAAGTAGATACGCAGTGAAGCAGGTAGGCAAGCAGTGAAGTAAGTAGATATGCAGTGAAGCAGGTAGGCAAGCAGGGAAGTAAGTAGATATGCAGTGAAGCAGGTAGGCAAGCAGGGAAGTATTGAAGCAGCAGGCTACAAGGAGGGAGGTTAGGCTGGGGAGGGGGGTGGGCGGGGTCAGCTGAGCGTCGCCAATAAACATGTCGAGACAAAACGCCTCACGGAGCAGATTGAGCTGTTACGACCCCGCTAAATAAGGCTCAGGCGGATGGCGTCCGGCTTTATCTGGCTGCCGCGGGCTGAGGGAGCCAGACCTACGACCTCCTCTTGAACCTGGGATTCTCAGAGACTTTTACAACTAGATTCTGTTTCCCCTAAGATGTGAGAACCTATGTATCCGAGTAGCTTAAAGATACAGCAACAGGTGCCAAGATGGTGCTGATATTGATCTGAGACTCTACCGTAGCTAAGAACGTTGTTTGAGCCTCAATTAGGAGAAGT